TATGTAAGTTACAAGTATTAGCATTTATTACTTTCATAACATTCTGTGACTATTCGAAATGGCAAAATTGACACCTTTCCCTTGGACGTGATCTCTTTGTGGTGTGGTGAGTGTGATGGGGGGGAAGTGTGATAGGTAAATGCAAGGACGAAAACATTACACCCGTTCTACATGTAGCTGTCACGATGGTATTCACTGTGACGTCATCAGGAGTCGCTTGACGTAAAATTAAAGATGCGAAGTTCAATTCACATCTTCTGAAGTAGTACATGCATGATTTTTTGGAAACCTTGGAGGTATCTAGAAAAGAAATTGTTCTAGACAAAAAGTGACACCATGTGATGATGGCATTATCATGTGACAAGTCACGCGACATTAACTCTTCAAAGCATAGCAAGAAAGGGAAGTTTTATACATGTAGGCTCAAATTGGCATCATGTTATGATTACGTTATCGCTTGAAAAGTACATGTATATGTCCAATTCAGTTTAAATTTGGCACATAGCTAGGAAGGGAAGTGTTACAGAGGATAAATAGCATAATCCAATACGGTGATAGTCGACTCAGAAATTCCGAAATTTTACACTTTTCCGACCTATTGCATCAAGATAATTTTCAACTTGCAGGTGTCATGTATGAGAGTATTGAGCCTTCATTTGCTGTGAAATAAAATGAGATTGCATTTCTCTCTGCTAACTTTCCAAGTGTCACGTTATTTTTTTTGTTCTAAGCACATCAAAATCATATCAACCACTAAGGGCACTGTGTCGTGCCATGCATACCACACGTTCATGTGTAGTTTAGGCAAACGCTGTCAACGTACACACAGATCCGAACCAGTACCAGGCTAGAATTGGTACTTTATAAGATGAAGCAACACATTCCGTTCGCTATTTTCGCTGACAAAAACCACTGCCAACCAATAACCATCTCTATTGGAAATGTGTTCGTTTCCAGGTAATTGTGGGTGTCACAATCACTCTGATAGGCTTATTTCATGACGTATCCTCATATAAGGCAATGACTGTGCACATTTCATGCTACTCACCACATGCATGTGTAAAGACCACCACTCGAAGCCACTGCACCTGGGATCCTGAATACTTTTTGTGTGTAATCACAGAAAACCGTACCATCATGTGTGTTGTTGAATGAACTTTTCTTATCTTTACATTTCCATCATCATGTCTGCCCTTGAAGACATCATTCATCAAGAAGAAGGCAAGGTGGAGCACATTGACAAAGGGATTAAAACTCCTGGCGATGGGAGTGGATTGAGGCCAAAATAAGAGGAGCGTTCTTGTCCAAATTTATTTGGAAATTGGCAAAACCTGGTAGGGCAGTGGTGCGATGTAGAAATTAATTACGCTTCCAGCACGTGCAGAATCGTTGATATACAACAGCGAACTCAAGACACGGAAAACGAATTATCGTCTGTCAGGTACATGTATACATGTACATAATCAACATGGTTTTTGGCCGTAAAGGGCTGCGCGCTCAAAAGTTTCAGCTTTTTTCATTTTCTGAGAACTTCATCCCTGGATTTTGTTCTTTTCACCAATCGCAAATTAAACATTGTAAGACTTGATCCTGGAATTCTGGCAAAGCATCTTTCTCAAAGCACATAATTTTTTCGAAGCCGCCATTTTGCTAGAGCTCGTTGCAAATTAGTACAGTTCCCAGGTATTGAAAGCCCCTGCAGTGGACGACCATGATGGCCAGAAGCTGTTCTGCAACTGTAGGCAAGAGGACGCTGACGCATCAGTGGTTGGTTGTGGAAAGCTCCTAGCCTAAGAGGTTGAAAAAGCAATTCATGAAGGTATAGACGCCAAGTAAGAAGGGTCAGTCACGAAAATGGACTGGCATCAAGGGATCAAGCTTACCCAAGATGGCTGTAGAGTGATCTAGAGAACTTCAAGGAGAACACTTTCTGTCTAAAAAGAAGTCAAAACAAGCCTCCCGGCCTACCAACGGTGAAAAAGCATCAATTCATGAAGGTATAGATGCCAAGTAAGAAGGGTCAGTCACGAAAATGGACTGGCATCAAGGGATCAATGGCATCTTGCCCAAGATGGCTGCACAGTGATCTAGACAACAACTTCAAGGAGAACACTTTCTGTCTGAGAAAAAAACAAAAACAACAGGAGGAACCTTCGAGAGGCGTGGTAAGTAGTGGCAAAATTCCTGTATTTTGGTAACAAGGGCAAGGAAATCTGTCAGAAGAGCAAGATCCCATGAAATCTCGCGTTCCACGTCAACGGCATCCAGAGCCGGCTGACGGAATACAACCCCCTCAGAGTTTCACCATCGACAGTCTACAATAAGCTTGTCTAAGTACAGAAAGCTGCACACTTCATTCACAACCTTACTCAATGTGCTGAGGAAGCAGCAAAGAGGTGAATTCTAGAAGTGTCGCAGCTACATCGACAAGACAGGAGTCGAGGGACCTGTCAATTTCAAAGAATTCAACAACCACCTTCTGAATGGTTCAATAAGTCAAGACCGCTACACGAATGCTGTGAAGGAGGGCAGGAAGTGACCCCGCAACAAACTTGAATCTGTACACGAATGCTACATTCTGCAGAACAATGAGGGTGTGTGCATTTTCAGGGGGTACAAATAGCATCCATTTGCCTGGAGTGGTGTAAACAAGAGGTGCATTCCCAAGCACACCTGCAAGCAAGAAGGTGGATCATTTGATGAGACTTTTCAGCTTTTTAATTCACAAGAGAAAACTGTGGCACAGAAGCAAGACAGTGCTGGATTAAACTTGTACATAGAAAGGACCCCTAATTTAATTAACATCTGGGAGGCCGAGGCATACATACCTCAGATCGTTTGACAGATGTCAGCTGAAGAAAACCCAGATCCCTGTTACAATAACAATGTTCCCTCATCAACCATGGGATGACCACTGTCACAAAGGGCAGCTGTCCAAAGAAGTACTTCTTGTAATTGTGCTGACCTAACCCTGCCTTTTTCCAGCTTACAGCACACTCTACCGATCATGTACATGTACATTGTATAGCACACCCACACGAGTTGATTGATCCAATTTCTATCGCCCCACACATCAAACTGGCTTAATACAAACTACGAACGCCAACTGCTCGTCACGTGACTCCGGTTTGTCCCGACACAAGTTTCCAACAAGTAAACGTGAAATTGAATGAGACCAGAAGTAGACTTGGCATATGAACACAAATTCTAACAAGGCACAGAAACAGACACTGCTGCGCCCACATGTATTTCAGTCAACCTTTCTGAGGAGAACACACTGGTACGAGCTGTATTGATGGATCAACATGACCCTAAGTCCTTCCTGGCCATGTACATGGCTTACAGGCATACTTTCAACTTATCAACATACTGTGTTATCTTCCTGTAAGAGTGTCCTGACGAAAGACTTCCAGCCACATGACAAAGAGCAATATTTCCCAGCTTCTCAGCCACAAGCTGGTCTATCCACATTTGCACAAGGAAATGCGAGTGTGCGATGGCTGGAAGCAAATCAAGGCCCAAATAATAGCTGCATTTGCCAGTGTACACATGTGCATGTACTATGCACATGAGCTTAAGAGCAGATATGTGCATGTCATGTGAGAGAAGACGTAAAACTATTTCAGAAAAAATGACCTAAAACCCTAGGATGTGTGCTAATCATACTGAAATCGGAGGATTTAGCCCCGTAAGGCTTGAGAATTAACATTCAATTGCGGTCCTCCATCATCTGAAGAAACTATTCCCTGCTCTTCATTCTTGCTACCGGCTTTCCAACCAATCTTTAACCATCATATCTACAGCCAATCCTGGCCACAGGTTCTACAACTACTCTTTGCCAGTGCTAATATCCTGTGGTGAGTAAAGCCAACAGATCACCAGAAAACCCTGCAAACTAGTATACTATTGTTTGTGTGTTAGTGAAAGCCATATTAGAGGACGAGAAAATAGTCTGAGACCCTCCTGGTAGTGGTATATGTATGTCAAACACATAGAGATTGAATGGACACCATAATTAACCTTTGCTATATACACATGTGCACGTATGTGTGCTGTCCAATCTCTTGAATCTATTTCATTATACCTAAAAACTGCCATTTTTAATGATACTTTAACTTCTTTGCTTTTCACAACTGTTTAATAACCGCAGATCTAAAATTTTCCTAATGAGGAATTAAAACCGAATCCAAACACAAAGGACTTCCAGAGAGATCTGTAAAAAGTGCTTCTGGCGTGTCTAGTTTCCTAATCCAGTGTCTCTACTGGAGACACACAACCCTGGCTTTGTGATAAAAACACGACGCTGTATGAACATGTAATGTTAAAGTACAAACTGATGCAGTGTTGGAAACACACTGGATAACTTATGAAAGGGCAAGATACAAACTGTATGCTACAGGCTACTTACAATGATTTTGTTTTCAGACTGGTCAAATTCCATGGCCAACTTGTTAACCCTAACAGTACCGGGCGTTGTTTGGCTTAGAGTACTCAGTACCACAAAATACTATGTAACACTCTGAGCCTGAAGGACCTAGCGGTACAAATTACTATTTCTGGCTAGGTTTATTCCATTATTACTCGTACAGAGAATATTGAAACCATGCATTCACAGTGCCACAGCACTGTTTGGTACATTGTCTTCTCTATTGTATCTTATGGCCTCAGAGAATAATAATGTCATGTCCTCTTACAAGCGACAGGGCTGAGTACTATATTTTACTACTAAGTAATACTTTGTAGCACTCGGGACTGTGAGGGTTAAGCCATGTTTACTAACTGTGACTAATGTTAAAGGTCTCTGGATAATGTAAGTTGGTGGCAACTGCCGTTAATGTAACAAATTATTGTCATATTCAAAGTCAACTCCTCAAAAAATAGACACAAGTGATGACAGGTACAACAGCTGCTGCAGTTCTTCTTGTACATGTAGAGTGGAAGTTAATTCAAAACAGTTACGCAAGCCAACTACATTTTTGAAACTCTGAAGTCGAAAAAAGTAAATTGTAACAACAGCTGAGGATTTCCACTTTTTATTTCCATCACTAGAAATGTTACGGCACTCCTCAATAAAGTGGCCTCAATTTCGGATTTTTTTCTCAGATCACAGCTATACATGTTAAATACATTTGTGTTAGTACATTCATTTGTAGCATGGACATGTACTTGCTTGTGGTACTTTTTAAAATTCTCACAGTTCACATCACCCTTGAACAACATTCATTGGACCCAGTAATGAAAGGTTCAAACTGACAATTATGTTCCTTCAGTTAAAGGATGGAAGGCCAGTATACCATGATAAACCACTGACGTCTACCAAAGGCAGGCTTTCGCCTGCTGCCTCAATGTGAAAGAAGCCACAGCAATCAAGACAATCTGGACCTTACGGACATGGAAGCCCAGCTTGGTTCTGCTGCTCCTGGTGACTGGTCAATTCTGCTGGCAGCTCCACACTATGCACACAGCAGTAGTCACGGTGTAAGTGATGCGACTTCTTCCTGAAGGAGAAAGCACACACATTAAATACATCTTTTCCACAAGAAATCGGGATAAGAGCACACTAAAAAGCTAGGATGTACATGTAAGTACACCAATCTTCAATCACTAATACGGCTTTAATAGTGCTGTAACAGGTTGAAAGCTTTTTCCTCATATTTGCAAAAACTAAACTGGTGCCAGAAGTCTGGAATAAAGCCCCCAACTTGTCTATGAGTTACACATGTATACACTTCAGATCTAAACAGATAGTGCAGTAAATAAAGGCAGTTGTACAGGCTAATTACCAAGATTCTGATCTTGGTAAGTTTGTTAAATTCAACACTATCACATGAAATTGGGTATGTGTCAAACACTCCAACTCTGTATGATTTCTGCATACACTGCACATCCAACTAGAAAATGCCTTAGCGGTTTCATTTCTGAAATTCTATTATCGCACATTTTTTTCAAAACAGTTCCTACTGAAAGCCAATACATGACACTCAGGAGGAAATCTACACATGACTCTGGATTTTTTTTCCTTCATGTCACTCTTATTTCAGAGTCTAGGAATACTTCCAATTCATCACAGCCGGAGGAAAGCTCTGACTCAAAGTAATTCCGCTGAAAGCAACCTTACCACTGATCTAACGCGTCCCACAGGCCCCGCCTTCAGCCATGGCCATGCTGGGTGGACGGCCAGAAGTCGTCTGTGCCAGCCGCCAGTGTCTTCCTCAAAGCTTCAGGCGTGCTCTGATGCAGCTTTGTCCCTTCAAGTGAATGCAGATGACGCTCCCACAGCGTGAGAATTGGCCGCATTCACATGGCTGTGATGGGCCGAGTAGGAGCAAGCTGTGGAAAGATGTACACGTGATTAGAAAAAAAAATGAAGCACTGAAGAACCTGATTGACTGAAGAAGCCTGGTCAAGCCTCCTCGACCAGGGTGCCAGCTGGAAAACTTCAATTAATAGCCAAAGTTGTAGCCAAACATTTGAGTTTACAGCCATCCTACAAATTTACGAGCCAACATCACATATTTTTTTAGCCAATTTGTTTGACAATAAAGATAAACAAATAACACGTTATTTGCTCTGAAAAGCTGACACTTGCCCACAATTTTTCAAAAACCGCAATTATTATGGTTATTTAACTTAGGCCTACTGCATGCAAGCACTCTTTTATTTGGCCAAAAAATGGTTGTGCATCCGATTACAAAATTAGTTAGTTCAGAAACTTTTTTGGTTGGGGGGCAATTTTTTGTGCGGAATGAATGGGAATGACAGCTCCCAAAATTATCTCAAAAGTGATGAACACCTGTGTCAATCTGTAAAAATTTCAACAGTCGACAATCCACCAGAATTATGGACAATTCACACAGTGCTACTCAGGCAATCATGACGTCAAACTGGCCAACAATGGCCGAGCATCATGTGGTAAGCGTGCGTGATGTATTCAGACCAGTGGGCGATAAACCTTGTGCCGCAGCAGGAATTTGTTGAAACACACTCACTTTAAGTATGAGCAAAACAACCTCAAATTAAACTCATGAACACAGAAAATACATACATAAATAAGAGACCAAGTTCTGTGAATTAACTTGCAGAAAACCTCTTGCAACATCGATGTTTTTTTTGACCTGCAGCTTTAGGGTTGCATGCGATATGTGTGTACGGCTGATGTAGTGTAATCGACTGGAATGTACAGTACATGTACATGTATAGACTGGTTCTGGTTGCTAGATTTCCATCATGCGTTCTGTCGCTTGTGCGTAGCACAGCGGGAACCTGGGCAGCTTCGTTTAACGCACTGAGCTTTGCGCATGTGCTTTTACCACTGCGACAACGAACATCAATGAGGACTGTTTGTGAAAGTTGGAAATTAAAAAAATGACATTTTGGTGACGAACATGTGGTAAGTTTTGTCTAAATTTGCAAAATGATTGCCAATTTTTCTCGCCAAGGTCAATGGAATAAGAGCCAAAATTACAATTATTTGCCAATTGGCGAGAATGGTGAACAGCAGCTGGAACCCTGCTCAATAGTTAACTCTGTGGAAGTGATTACTGGAAATACACTGAATGAAGGATTTCCAGAAGCACTAGGTTTCTTAGACTGAAAACAATGATAGCTTAGAGTTAAGTTTTGGCAAGTCCATTGGACAATGCAAAATAATGCAAAAATGTATAGATTCTGTCCGAGAAAGGCTGACTTTCTTTACTCTGCTGGAAATAAGGTGATTAGACACAGTGGAATTAATTAAAAGCATGAATGCAATACACCAAAGCAGAACTTGAATTTCAAAATACACACACAAGATTCAGGCCAATTATAAGCAAACTGGGAAAGAACTCCATAGGCCTACACAGACACCACTAATTGTGCCCTGTAGTGACCAATTAGCCATCTGTTATCTGAAAGCAATAAAATGTGAAACTATCTGTATTGAGATATTCTCTGAGAAAACACTTAGAATTTTTCACACCAGTCTCATATTAAAGCCTTATCACAAATACTGCATGGGTGATTTTACACAACAGTAGAAATGCGCTGTGGGAAGGAAAAAGGAGCAAATGCTGTGCCTGCATATGCTGTCAAGCAGTGTACATGTGCATGAACATATATGGAATTCTTTCTGCAAACTGATATCGTTTACAAATTCTGTTCTCAAAATATGCCATTTCTCTTTTAACGGCATGAACTTTATCAAGTAGGTATTTTGTCTTCGTCTACTGCAAATTATGGCAAATATTCATAATGAAGCTCTCCTGTCAAAGACTTTCAATGGTTCTGCATGAATAAATGTATACATGTACTTAAAGGACCGATCAAGATTTAGACTCAACTAAGATCTAGACCCCAGGCCTTTTTCTTTTTCAATATTATCAGGTTAATCTATTTGCACTGTAATGTCCTCTCCAACCTGTCCAAGAACTGTAATTGGCAGATATTTTCAGCTGGGACAGAAAATCCATTAGGGCCTAGAACTGTAGAAGGGAATTCAATACGGGGGCCAGAACTTAATCATTTGGTCATGAATGTCTACACAGATGTTTCACTGGCACTTGATGCTGAAACTGGCCCACACTTCATGTTCAGCTGACGTTGAAGTCGAACTTCAACTTCAGAAGTTCAACAGGCGTAGCTCGCGGGCTGGGCGGATCGGAGAGCACCGCCCTATTTTTTTTTTGGCCACAACTGGCCTATGTACATATAGGTACGGTTTAACATAGGCCCTTGCATACCTGCAAGCCAAGTGAACATTACATAGCCAGCAAAGTGTACAAAATGCGCCATAGGCCCGGCCTGCGCTTGCCGCGCCTACGTCCAGCCATGGGCTATAATAATCTCCATGGTCCAGCCCAGAACGTTTCTTTCCCTTTTCCAAACAATTCAAATATATTTCAGCTTAGTACCTTCTATACTTATCCTCCACGATACCATTTTGAAAGTTCGATAAATGCTGAACTGGGAAAAGATTCTTGAAGAGAAATTCCGCCTCGAAAGCTGCAAAAATGCTGCAACATATCCGCGTATTCGATGTGCTGCCTCGGCTGCGCCTCGGAAATCACCGGGCCCGATCGGGCTTTACATTGCTTAGTCTCCTCAGAGCGTGAATGGATTTTAACTGCATTTAGCTGCATGCCCTAATCTTTGACGCAAACGCTTTAATGTACAAAGAAAGCTTGAAAAGAGAGTAGCAGACATCGGTGGGATATTTCATTTTCTAAAATAGGGATGTTTGAAAATCAATCATTAAGACGTATTACACTTTTTCATTATTTTTCTCTAAAAATAAGTGTATTATTTGTATGAAAAGATTAGTAGGATCAAAAATTTCTTACAAATATGGAATATGTTTTATTTTAAATGAGAAACTTCATAATGTCTAACTGTGAACATCTGGAGTACACCATGGGCGCTTGGTCTGTTTTGTTTTGTCCAGGTCATGTTATCGGTAATCATCGGCTTGTACCGAAACTCGCCGAGAGGTCACAGCATACCCGTATGTATCATGGCGATTTCCCCCACCTAATGGAATGCAATGTGTTGTGGAGTGATCTAAAAATCGAATTTTGGGATTTCGAGCCACGCTTTTTTCGGTATCTGGCTCACTCCACACACACTAGCATTGATGGTAATGCATGCAAGCAAACATCCGAGACTCAGTGATGGGTAATTGTCGCCAAGTTCTTCAATGAAATTTATCTTCCTTATCTGGGGTCGATTTGCAACCGCCAGTCCAAATCAATGGGCAGTGTTTGCCACATGAACATGAGCACCTACGTCAAGTGTCAACTTCCACGACCACGAGAGTCCCTCGATTAACAGCAGTCATGTTAAAATTGTGATCTTTTATGCCCAGGAATATATCAAAATGGATTAATGCTCGCTTTTTCTTTGTTTTCCCTCTGCAGGTTCCACGACAGGAACGAAGCCCATCCTTTCCAGGTGTGTGAGAACACCAACTAATGTTGATAATCTCGGCATCTCCTGAAAGACGGAAAACCTTCCTCTACATGTTTCTCAAGACAGAAGAGCTGTTGATCGTCGGGCACAACTGCTACTCCATTTTCTGGCTTCACATGCGTTATTTCCATGCCTGTGGAAATCAAGCATTGAAGCTGCAAAGAAACCACAAATTGTCATTCATTTGTTGAAGCAATATTGTCATGTTTGTTGATTTTCTTCCACAGAATTAAATGCAGCAATCATAATCCTACATCCAGGGGACCTTATATTTACAGAAAAGTGGAGTTTCTTAGTCTACAACCGATAGGCAATGAAACCCGCATTTGCTTAATTGTCTTCTCCATTGTCGTCTCCATCACGAAGACCTTTGGAACAGTAGAATGACCTTAAACAATTGGTTATATGCCAAAGAAAATTGAATCAGTTCTCTTCAATCTCATCAGTGGTGCAGATGAAAGAGGAAGGCATAAGTAAATTGAGTGTTTATTGGTTATTTCTTATAAAGAAAGTAATGTTTCACTTTACAAATTCCTACATAAGTCCCCTAAGAATTGTGATTGTTGCACTTAATTTGAAATAAAGCAGGTCAAGCATATACCTTCCTCTTCTCCAGCATGGAGGGAAGGGTTCCATGTTTTAAAAGTGTCATGGCAACTGTTTGTGACTGAGGAGCTGTGGATATTGTATTTTGTCAAGCTGCATTCAGAAATGTCACTTAAATGTCATAGGTGCAGTTGCCAAACTTTGTAGCCATTGCTTGGTGTAGCACAGTAGGATAGCTCTCGGAAGGTACATGGCAAAAGATGGAAAAGTTGTGAAAGCTGACAGTTGGAATGTTAATCTTGATACTGCCCCCCAAAAAGGAGGTCTATAAGACTTACACTCGATGCTTTTGCCCTGGGTTTCCATTCATCACGGGCACAAGTCAAATAATGAAGCCATACAAAAGATATTCCTCACAACTTGTAATTTCATGTTAATTTATGCGTGCTTTTGGACAAGAAGTAAAGTTACCTAAAAGACAAAAATCCTAATGGTTATGGACCTGCTCACAATTTTGGGATTTTCAAGAACGTGTTTTTAAGGCAATCAACTGCCCTGAGCATGATGATTTGATTCTAACCAAGTTATGTACCTTTCGCATGGATTAGTTTATTTTCACACAAGTGTAGTTCCTCGAATATAACAGAAAACTGGCAAGTACTGGTTGAGGTCTTGGAATTTCCAGCTGAAAATTGTCTCGGCTTGCATTAGGAATTAATCCTGAAAGTTCTTGTGACGGCTTGCCTGTAGAGTCATGATGGTGAATGCAACATCAGTCTTAATGGGCTTGTCGATAACGCCTCTGAAATTGCTTTTGTGAGAACAGCAGGTAAATTGTAACCTGGAGGTAAACTCCGATTGCTTTATTTATTGTCAATCAAGAAGAACCTTGTTGGATTCTGTGGAGCAGCTGCACAATTATGATGGGTTCTGTCAAAACCAGATACTTTCTCAAGCAGAACTTTGAAGAAAAAAGTGACTCAAACATTTTTCTCGTCAGTGTTGTCACAGACTTTGAATTGGCACAAGGTGACAACTGATAGCCCTTTAGGAAAAAAAAAAATCTATAATAGAAATATCTTGCTGTTCAGTCAGTTACCCAGAAGTATCTTGATTTGACAGAGAACATGTCATGGTGTTTCTGATCAGGAGAAGATGTGTCTTTGGAAAACTTGTCATTCATACTTAAGTGAGTACGTCAGTGTACATGTACATGGCAACACGTACTTGAATGATTTAAGTACTATGCATATTGGTCGTATTAGTCATTTTCCACATTTTGTTAGCTCAGTACCCAGATAACTGGGTAAAACGTTTTGCCTTCAACTTCCAGCTCTACCTTGAGAGGCGACAAAGATGAATTATTTGTTACTTATGTTGGAAGAGAAGCTCTCTCTTCTTGAACTGAAAATCCAACCTGTATGCAGTGTCCATGGCAGGAATCGAATCAGGTTCACCAGAGAAATGAGACAAGAAAAGACTCACAGCGCCAACTGACAGCTGTCAGCAGCAGCCAAGTTTGATTGGTGACATCCGTCCGCTGCTGGTCGATTGGTTGGTTACCTGTGCATAAATCGTACGCTGGTGCACCAGGCTGAAATCAATCAGTAGTTAACACATGGCTGCAGAAAAAACTCAGCCATTTTTGTCGCTGCTAAAACACTTTTGTTCACCCCAGAAACTCATTTCTGAAATGGGGAACCATGATTATCATGTTTTCCCAGAAATGTACGGAATTTCTTTGTTAGATACACATTCCATTAAAAAATTTGTCTCTACCAGTCAGTTTTAACATAAATAGATTGAAACTGTGTGGTAACAATATTATGTTATTGAAAGGATATCGCTTGCTGTACGGCCTTGTGCTGTAAAGATGTCTCATTTGATGCCATTCAAAACATGAGAGTGACCTGGTTACTTTTCTGGTCATGAGCATGGTAGATGCCACTAGCTTAGGATGGAGTGCGTTTGATCTCAGCCAATCGGTTGAACTGTCATCACATGGGTCTGAGAGTCAATGTTGCTTCAGTGGCATTGAATGTTTGAGATGTTTAGGGTCTAATGTTGCCGTCCGAGCAGGATCATAACTGAAGGGGCTTCAGTAATGTGCACGTTCTCCAGTTGTCTTCTCATCAAAGCAGCCATACTGTGGTTAGCTGTCCCGTGTAAGCTAAAACAAAATTTTGGAGGGGGTCATCATTATCAGAAATCTAGCTTGTGGGGTGGCGGCATTGGACGAGGGACACTGTTCCAGATTCTTCTAAATTTAAGACTGCTTGTAACATGAAGGATGGCTTCCTGGCACTATGTAGTAATACAAATTCCATAGGAACAGTCAAAAACAGTCCAAAAATTCCTTCCGCTTGATTTGCCCCAGTACACTGACACACATGGGAAATTTGACTGATTTTGACCGACATAACAACTTTGTCAAGAATGTATCATTGCATAGGAGGGTTAGTGTAGCCAGTATAGAAATTAATCAGGGATTTTGAGAAAGAAGCTTGCCAAATGCCATGGGGGTTGAATGTGTTTTGTTTGTGACCAGTGTCAAGCCAGGTGAAACGTGACCTAAATTTGTGTTTATTGTCTCCATGGGACACGCCATCCTTTTTGAGCCTTTTTCAGAGGCACACGATGCCACATAAGTGCTGGTACTGTCACATGATTCTGAGTCTCTGGGCCGAGTTTGAAAGTGTTTTTAATTTAGTTCTTTTTGTATTGCTTATAGCATGGAGAGAAAAAGATCGGTCGTATTTGTCTCGTTGATTTCTTAACTGTATCTTTTACTCAGCGACTTTGACTTGTGAGTGGTATCAGAAATGTCTACAATATTGCTTCACTGATGGACATGAATGACCTTTTGTCTGCAGTTGTGGTCTAAATGAGGAAAAAAATAATGTAAAGCATTCTGAAGTATCAACAGTTGCTGTTAGAGAAATGTGTAGTCATGAGGAACTCCTATAATAATGACAATTTATTTCAGGCATGCAATAATAACTTTCATTTTGTTGATTGGGGAATTTTATCAAGCATTTCCCTTTTTATATGTAAAGTTGATATCCTTGTAAAATATGTCATTAACAGCATTGTGCATGCTTTTTTCCCCATACTTGCTTGGTTATTACACTTGTCTGGCACTCAATCACTGTGACAAAAAGTATGATAGCAGAATTTTGCATTGAAAATAACCACATTAGTTGAGATGACCTTTTGTTATAGAAAATACTCGGACCAATTTCAAAATGTATTGAATTTTTTTTCAGTTCAAAGATGTGAACCACCAATTTGATAAGTGCAGGGATTTCACAACTTTAATTTGGTAACAGAATTTTTAATTTTTCTGGTTGACATTCAGACTTCTCCGTCCAGCCTCCTGACTTAAGCCTGGCCTGAACTCCTTTTTCAAAACCTGTTACTCTTTTGGCAAACTTTCAGACTGTGGACAGATTTCCAGCCAAGGGTCACAGTGGGAAAAGCGACGGCAACACAGGCTCCATGTCGGGCCGGCCCTCTGACCACACTGACCATGCTGACCATCGCGAGAGATTGCACATCGCCAACAGGGACTCGCCCAACCAGCGGCCCGCGGCCAGCCCTGCATCTAGACAGGCCAACGATCGGAGTAGCCCTCGTACGTATCGAAATAAAGAGTCGTACCTGCAGCGACAAAGGGAGAAGCAAAAAGGTGAGTGTCGTCCATCCACCTCTGGAAATTCTGTTCTGTTTTGTTTGTTCAATTTTTGGTTAACGTTCTATTTCACCAAAAATAAATTAATTCAGGGGCTTGATTGCTAACGCCATCACTTGCAGCAACTTGTACAAGTTGTCTGAACTACCAAACGCCAAAACAAATGGCAAGATGAGGCTTGTAGATTCATCATGCCAGTATATATGCCAGAGAGAGCAAAGTGCAGCAAAGTCCATTTTCATTCCTGTGTTGAATACTGTTTTTGTTGGCCCAGAATGATCACATGACAAGGCGATATAACCCCATGTCACACTCACTGCAAGGCATTACATCAGACAGCTTTGTATGATATCATGTGCACACAGGCATGTGCCCTGTGGTGTACGAGATTATGGAGGAACTGCTAGTTGCCCATATTCAAAGATTCCTTTGTCACCCATAATTTCCCTTGGAAAAACAAGTGGAAAACATCAAGACAATGATGTGACGTACTTGTTGAATGGTGCGATGTGTGATGTGACATTTTGAAAACCCAAGGGACGCATAGTTGTTAATTGGTAAGTGTTACATTATGTTGCATTCTGTTACGTGCCGTAGGGCTCTTGCTTCACTTGTGTTGGATGTTGTCGTATTTAAGCCGTGTTGGCTTTTGATTTGCAACCATGTTGAAGATCATCCCACAATGTCTGTCTGTTTTGGGCGAAGGACACGACACAGCAACATCACCATGCAGCGTCTTTGTCACACAAAAAAGGAAACCAGTGGGACATCTTGGGATTTTTTGTCTGAAATTTTCCTCCTCCGTTCATTTCTCAAGTTGACTGTTCTTCTGCCTTACTTTTTGCCATGCTATTTCAGTGTCAAAACTCTGCTTTCGAATTGACTCCTTAAGAAGTGAGCACGCTTTGGGGGGAACTTTGTAACACAAATCACATAACCAAATTTGCCAATTTTTATTTATGTTTTGTGCAGCACTTGGAAGTTCGCCAGCAGAGAATGCAGTCAATCACCATGGAACGAACTCCCATGTCACAGATCATGAAAGACACATCAAAACGGTGAGGTTGCTCAAGTCTGTGTCGAATAAACAACCCTGACTCTCTAGAAATCTTTGTAGCGTTCATACATGTAGGCACCTAAATATTGTCAATAACCGGCTGGAACAAGGCTTCATAATGGTGGGGGAAACCTTTCGATAAACTGTAAATACATGAAAAACAATTTAAATTCCTTGTTTGGGCTGCATTCTTGCAAAAATATGAAAGTTTCGGGTGTTACTGAGACAGAAAGTGGTCCAACTTTGTAAATTAAAACGAGTTACACTCAGTGCAGGAAAGCCCGTGACATAATGGAAGGTTCACATAGGGTGCGTGTTTTACCTCCAATTGTTTGTTCAGTCCATGGGATAAGAACCACTTTGCTAGTCGTAATTTGAGTACAGTAAAAAAAATCCAAGAAAATGGGCTCTCCAAGAAATCAATGATAACCGGCAACTGCGGAAGTACCACACACAAGGGTAGATATCAAATGTGCACACAATTCTGTTCAGTTCCAAATGGCTCATTTGTTTGGAATCTGCAGGTATGTGATACTGCTTGCGTGTTGAAGGAGTCCATTGTTCAGAGCTTGAATCTTACAGCTGCTAATAATGGGTGTAAATCAAGCATTATGGTAATACGTAGGTAATCAGTAATGTGATACGACTTGATCAGGTGGATGACAAGCTGTATGTGTATTGCAAAAAGGATAAATTTACATGTAGGTGATAATTTATGAAAATCTCAGCCCAAAATGCAAATGAGGACAATATTAGGACTTATTTAATTGGCCAAAGAAGTCCTGTATCCACCGTAATGGTCAAAATGAATTGTAAAAAAAATACCTGCCAGCTGTCTGGATCTAATCCTCAATAATTTTGCCTTTGTAATGGGCAGATTTTAAAAAAGAAGAAAGAAAATAAGGTTTTGGTTTTAGAAGATTGTTAGTTTCAAGCAACAAAGTTTAGAGTAAAAAGCAGGTTGTATCAGCTATGAGCCTCGAGCTGGACCAAGAGAGGGTGCAATTTTCTTAGCAACGGAGGCTCCTTTGGTTGGAACTGAACTTTGCTGGTTCACGAACGACTATGAAATGCACGCGTTACAGTCGCATCGCGACCAACAAAATGAACACCCCTGACGAACATGGCTCTTTTCATTTGATGAAGGGTTGCTTCTGCTCAAAGTGGATACATCGCCCGTATCGGTTCTACAGTTCAGTTACGTACAAAAATTTGACAGATCGTAGAAACAGGATGATATCTCCTTCCCGGGGTCCCTGAAAGACTGTATTTGCATTATCAGACAGCACTTGTTTGACTACAGGTGCTTGAGTAAGTTATTTCACAAGAGCACTGAGAAATACTTGAAGAAAGCTTGCATTGTCATAAGGGAAAAGATTTTACAACCTCTTTGCTGTGCAGAGCTCTGTAGTTAACCGTTCCAATGTGTATGATGCAGATCTTGGCCAAGGCGGGAGAGTGGACAGAGCACACCAGTTCATCAGGGAAGAAGTATTACTACAACTGCAGGACAGAGGTGTCCCAGTGGGAGAAGCCCAAGGAGTGGCTGGAGAGGTGAGATGCTCTCAATATCTCCACCCCCTACCCAATTGAAAAAAGCGAATCTAGTTATCCTGTCATTGCTCTACTCTTGTACCTTCTGTTAAATCCTTGAATCTGCTCTCTAAACAAAGCACTGGAGATCAGAAATATCGTGTACTTATTCTCCAAAGGCCAATATTGGGAGCTGTAAATCACAGACATTTTCCCAGTTTAGAATGGTTTTTGCTCAGTAACTGCAGGTTACCAGCCAAAATGTTGCATTAGTTGCATTACTTTTGACTGGTTCTTAGCTGATATTTGTGGAGTAAGGAAATGTGGGGCTTGTTGAGGGATATTTTTCTAAGAAGCAGTTTGAAACTAGGCTTTGAGAAAAGGGTACACTGTTTTAAACATAGTTTTGTACATTCCATATGGAGTTGGGTAGATCCAGAAATGACTTTTTAATCTCATCTGGGCACATTAGGGGTGTTAATATAACATACGTTTTTCACATGACGTAACATGACGGGTGGAGACATTTCAGGAAGTGCACCATAGAGATTCATACATTTTCAAATTTGTATATATCTACTGGCAATTTCATGTAGGCCTGAATGTTGAGAGACTTTGGAGGCGCTCTCATTTCCATGCACATCTGTGTACATTGAACGTTGACTGTCAAAAATCTTGGACTGAAATCCTTTTTCGGTACAGAATGGAAGTGTACTTTTCGTGGGAATGAGAACAAAAAGGGTGCAGAGTACGGGTTCTGTGATCAAATGTACTTTAAGTATGAGAGCAGAAGTACTGGAGAAAAAAATGGTACTAACTTCAAGTAATTAAGTGATTTCTGGTTGACTATTCTACCTGACAGAGAGAAACTGCAGCGAGTTCTTGGCTCCAAGGAGAGACCCATTGTCAAGGAGTCTCCAAGACCAGCTCAGAGTGGAGATGCCACACCTTCAAAAAGTGAGTTTAATTTAGCTTGGCTTTCTTGTGACTCCTAAATTGTGTATGCTGCCCAAAGGAAGAAGTTTTCTTACACTTTGCCGCACTCACAGTCCCATTGCATAGGAGTGAGTACTGCATAGCCTTTATAAAGTGCTCATAGCAGTGATGGAGCTCGACATTTCGTGAAGAATTTCGTCCTGCCATTACCAGCTTTTGATAGGACTATGTCACATGAGAACACATTCTCAATGTCAGAAGTGCAAAACCAGGGCAAAAACACCATGAAGGTTTGCCTTTGGGATTGTAACCTTTAAATGTCTTTCAGACATTTTTTCCGACCACTCCTGCTTTTGGTTGAACAAATAGCAGAAGTGGTAAACAGAGAGCGATTTCATGTTAAAATTTTGTATAGCAAATTCGCTATGCACTTTTTTTGTTTGCATAGCAAAAAATTGACTTTGTTTAGCAACTGATCAATTTTTGGTAAGCAGTTTCTGTTGAAATTTAAATCACATTAAAACACTTAAGCTTGGGTTTTATATGTTCATTATTGTTCGCCATTTTGGCCATCACGCGTGCAAAAAATCATTCCAGAGTGGTCCACAGAAGAATTGCGTCATCATTGGCCCCGAAACAGGTACAATGGCAGGTAACTTCATGATCATGTCATACCGCGATACTAATGTGTACATGGCCTATGGTGTCGCCCCGGCCATCATTTCGAAATGTGCACTTTTTTCGAGGTCTGGATTGAACATCCAGGCACTTTGCCAGAGCATGTGCACACTGCGCCTCGCTCGGCTGCATGCGCTATATGCAGAAAGCAGCGCATACATACATGCACATGTATCACAGCACTGTTCTTGCTCTGCTGATGGACAGTCTTTTGTGACTAGACAAACGTATCAGTAAATAGTTCAGATTCGTGAGTCGTGGCACCAGTGTTACATCGATGATAAACATCGATGTAACACTGGTGCCACGACACGTAAAGATTAAATTATAAAAATTTAATCTTTACATATATTTTCGTGTCCATAACAAACAAAATATTTTTATAAATGTTCATCGGAAAATTCTCTTGGAAAGGTGTTGTTGCGTGTGTGCATTTTGTAGCAAGTTGTCCATTCTTTTGCTACCTCACATGCCTCATGGTTTCAGGATTACCACGTACGTATCGTTATAAACACATGTACATGCACCGGGATTCTAATAACAGGACTTTGGTTTCTTGCACTCAGTGGTTTTCTCAACATTTTCCTTTATTCCACTTATAAAACTGCAGGTTTTTCGAAATTTCTAAAATAAAAAAATCCATCGCATATTGTTACGCAAAAACCTGCGATCCATTTTTAAAACTGGATCGCAGATTGTCCAAAACACGGTACATTTTGCGATGAGATACAGGGGAAATTGCTCACTGGGTAAATGGCAAATGTGCGACTGTAATTCTTGCCCTGAATATAACATGTAAAGTTCCTTTTTGGACTTGGTAGCAGATCCCTTCATCTGTAAATTTTTCTTGGCAGATGTGCAGATCGGTTTTTTTCGAACATGAAAGCGGGAGAATTGCAGGTGGAATGAATTTGATTTTCAATGTAGGTGATACCAACAGCAAGCATTCCATCGAGTCATCCCGTGAGAAACCCACCCCATCACCTGCCCAGCACCAGCAACAGGCCAACAGATACCCAGACAGGCCCTCCAGCCGGCCCCAGGAGCGGTCCTCAGGCAGCCGAAACCCGGAGAGACCCGCCCTTCGACCTCAGGACAGACCAGCTACCACAGGGAGCGAGGCCACGCTCGCCCGGTCCCACAGCTCCTGTAGCAGCAGCAGCACCAATAGCAGTCTGTCCCAGAGGCGGCCCTCACAGCAGTCCAACCAGGCCCCCTACAGCTCCCTGTCCCGGAGTCAGAACGAGGGGATGCGGACTGAGCGTGACAGGAGACACGAGACGGAATACCCCCATCACAGAGAACAATCTAACGTTAATGATAAAGCACGCAGCGGCTCCGGTGGTAACGTTGCTCATCCTACGGGGGGCAGCAGTGGCAGTACTGGTGGTGGACTCTCTCTGGCCACTGATATCTATGGCCGGCTTAAACCACTTGTCTCCCACTCAAAGGGCGATAGGGATCGTACCGGTAAGTTCAGTAGCCGTTGGCATTTTAACATGCCATTTCAACAATTTTGCTTAGAGTAATCCGATGAAGCTTGAAGGTCAGAGGCTGGGGTGTTATGATCCTAGCAGTATCTTTTTCAAAGATCCCTGAAAAAGATTCCTACAGGATGAAAACGTTTGGCCCTCCAAGTTTTCTGAATTGTTTGGTGTGATGGATAATGGTCAGACAGTCAACAAGTCCACTCAGAAGGTTCTATATTTTTGTAAGAGTTTGAAAGTTGGTTGCCAAGAACAGGAGAATGCAGAATCCCCACAGTCTCGGAAAAGCCTGAATAATCCTTAGGAAAAAGTTGTCCTCTGAAGTTATGGAAAAGTCATGGAAAATTGGGGAAAATATGGCATCCTGGAATCTGGTAGTCAGAGCAAATGGAAATCAAGATCATGGAGTGGTTATTTTTGATGGGATGTTTTTATGTGGTAACTGAAATGTGATAAATTACCAGGGTGTATCCTTGTCTGCAGCAGTATGCATGGCAGTCCAGTTCATAACACCAAACAACTTTTATGTGCAAAGTGTCATGGAAATTGTTGTACTAGAAGTTCTGCGACAGTCATGAAATTTGATTTTAAAATTTGGATAGGAGACCTATTTATTTATATCTGATCATCCAACAGTGCATTTAGTGCCAGTTGTAGGATGATAATGATTGAAGAAGACAATGAAGACATTTTCAGTTTGAGAGATGGGAGGAAAACTCCCGGATAAATGTTTCGGGGAAACCCATGGACTCGGGTAGGGACTGAAAACCCAATCCACATGTGGACCAAGCCAGATTCGAACGCAGGCCCTTAGAAGTGGAAGGTGAGGAAAGAGACACTACACCAACCTGACAAGTGTCAATGAAAAGTTTGACAGGTGCACTTGCATCCCTGCTGGTTTCTTTTTTTTTTAGCCTGTCAACTCTATTTTTTAAGAGGAACAGTACATCTCTCAATCAACCCAAAATAAAATCAGGACCCATCAACAAACAACTAAACATTTTTTCTATGGCCCATCTTGCTAGAGCTGCTAAGCAGGTGAATTTTGCTTCACAAATTTTATGTACCAAGCAAACCTGAGATAAATAGGGCTAACAAATTGTTCTGCTAAGGCCCAGTGCAAGTTGACAGCTTGGCTACCAAGTTCTGTCTCACTTTCTCAAAATAATGCAAAGTACTTTGGATCAAAGATCATCAAGGATAGAAAGGCCTGTATACTAAAGGCATCATGCTTTGTTTCACCCCATTCATGAGGTGGGCTTTGGTGTCAGTGAACCAATGGAAGGATCACTGATCGCCATCTGGATCCGTGTGAAACAGACAGGTCCTAAACATTTGATGATGATGTCATGTAGGTATGACATCATCATTTCAAGAGTCTAAGAGGAGATTCGTTCCAGCGCTTCTGGATTTGAATTACACATTGTCACTTTCCACTTGCCCGCAGAATCGCCACGGGTGAGAACCACTTCCTCCCCCGGCACACCCACGGCCACGCCCTCCCCTCACCTGTCCAAACCTCACCACAACAACCAGCAGAACCAGCAAGGCCTCCACCCACCAGTAGCACAGAAGTTATTCCCCGCCCACTCCCCGTCGCTAGAGAGGCATGGCCATCTCCATCACCACAGTGACCGAGTCGAAGAAGCTTTCGAAAGTGAGTTGCCCCTGAAATATTTTGAATAATGTACTGTTCAGTTTGGTCTACATGGCATGTTCTCCATTTCTTATATTTGACAGGTAAATAGTGGAAACGAGGGCGTTTTTTATCAGTGACAGTCCTGGTCAGCACTTTGTGTATATAGGGATTCATGTGTTTTTAAGATTTGTGGAAATTTTCCATTATCAGACTACACGCTCATAGCTGACAGACATGTAATTTTTCTTTTCGAAATTATTTTCAATGCAGGGTTGTCCAACCAGTCTCCAATTTCCGTAGCGTCTGTCTCTGACCTCTCCTCGCCAGCCATCTCGCAGCCCTCGCCGCGCAACCAGGCCTGCACCACACCTCACCAACAGCAGCAGCAGCAGCAGCAGCACCCCCAGCTGCAGTCCCAGTCGTCGCACTCCTCGCAGCCCTCCCAGTGCAACGTGCAGCAGCCCCCGCAGCAGTCCAGGAGTAACTCCCAGCCGCAGTCGGACTCGCGCTCCACCACGCCGACTTCAGTGGCCAACCTACCGGCCAACCTGAGCCGGGTGTCGTCGGATGTCAAGCAGGGGCATCCGCCCGATCTTAACACGGAGGAGCCCGTCAGGGATGGTCAGATGGAAACCGACAGCCAACAGCCAAGTCCAGTTTCAACAAGGTAAAAATGGTTTACCCCTCCTTTGTCTTTATTTGCGGCTCTCAGCAGTTGCTGTTTCTTGATCTCATCCCTTCTCAGCTATTGCCATATGACTACTATCTGTGTGGACAGATACTGCATACCATGATGAAGAATTGTCCCTATCCCTTAGTTTGCCTCCTTTTCTGCTTCCCAATCCATCATGTTTCTGTTTCGTGTAAACTCACACCACATGTACTGCATTGAACAAGCAACTTTTAACTGCTGAAGGTTCGCAGAATAAGCCTGTTGGATATCGCGATATTTCACGATGTTTCGATATGATGCTGATATCGGATATCGTATCTTTCGTAAAAACACATATCAGGATATCGTGCAAATCAATATGCTGAAAATCACAATAAGCTCCGAACGATGTACTGTACCTGCACATAGGGAAGTCAATGCACTGCGTGTTGAGCCCTCCAGGGATTACTGCATCTAGGCCACACAAATACTCCACTGAAAACCTCAAACCACAAAGTCACTGTTGGCCCCAAGCAGCTGCAAGGGTCTTAAAAGTATTAGGGGGCAGAACCAAACCAACAGACTGTACGCACCTGTAATGTCATTGAATGTATTGTACAGTAAACCCCAGCTAAGTCGGCTCTCTCACTCAGGGCTCAAGATTGTCATACGCCGTGCACGTACATGGCTGTTTTCCAATACTCAACTTCGTCTCCGTCTCAGGCTTCAAAACCAATTCCTGATTGTGGACCTGAAGTATTTCAATTAATTGAAGAACTGTAACGTTTGGCTCTTTTGCATCTTACTGGGTGTTTTGTGCCACTATCAAACTTGCTATTGCGCTCACAACTTTAAAGTCATGTTCGTCAAAAAACAGTTGAAGCCTGAACAGAGACAAAGTTGAGTATTGGAAAATGGCCCACATGTTAAGCTTATTCAATAAGGCGACCCCCAAAATGGACATAGCGCATGCGTGTAGCCCGAGAGGGGTCCCTGGTATTGATGCACTTCTAGGCATCCGCGGCAAGGAAACCAATACCGAGGCGTGATATTTTTATTGCCGACATTCAGGGATTTTTTTGTGGTCTTGTAGAAAAGGGACCAAGTAAAACATGCCGGCTTAAGAGAAATAAATGACGACTTAGAAATGAGGTGAGGGCATCAATACCAGTGGCTCTTCTAGTAACACGCATGTGCTCTGTCCATTTTGGGGGTTGCCTTATTTAGCAAGCTTTACTGCTAATGTATGTGGGGAAATAGTTTTTTCCGTACTGTGCCATGATATGATATATGATGTCCACAATTTCCATGTTGAAATTTGCTTTCCACCAGCATATAAAAGCTCTAAATTTGTAGATAATACATAGGCCTGTACATCTTTTTTTGGTGTTTTTTTTTTAAACTTGGCTCTCTAGACATAGTGGGGATTTTGGTCATGTTTATTTTATGAATGGAAAATGACGTCATCACTGTAATATCGGATATCGCGATATTTTTTCATGATATCGCAATATGAAGAGAACTGAATATCAAACAGGCCTATCGCAGAAAAAGTAAAATGCCACTTGTTCTAAAAATGTGCTGAATAACTGGGAAAGATTTTTGTGTCGTTCAAGGATTTACCAGGTTATTGTACTTACCACTGCCTCAAAATACACCCTTTCTAACTGTGACTTCATTCATGAGAGAGCGTTGCTTACCAAGCCCTGGATGTCCAGAGGCACATGCAAAACAAACAGGAAAGCAGTGCTTTTATTCCGCTTATGACACCATGGCCATCTGTATATTCAACCTGTTGACTTTTGTAATTTTGTTCCCCTACCTGTCTTGTCCCCCTAGTCCAACGCCCAGCCAGACATCGAGCCAGTCAGGGACAGGAGTGGCCAGCCTACCTACTACACCTCAGAAGCCTGCAGTGGCAACGCTCAGCCCCTCGCTAGCTCTGTATCACAATGAGTCCTTAACGAAGCATGTTAGCGGTTGGTCCTCAGAGCTTCTGGACAGACAAGTAAGCAGCGTGATGCATAAGTT